TTTTAATTTTTTTTTTTTTAATGAATTGACCAAGTCAGGGCTCTTCAACACAAGGGGGCTGCAGTTTAAGCCAACAGCTCATGGGCCGGACATCCAACAATGAAAATCATTTTGTAAATAAACTAAATATTACGAGGATCTGTTCACTTTTTAATTTGTTTAGTTTGCTGCATTGAATCATCAATGCAATAAATATAACTCAACAGTGTAATCCAAAGAAATTACATTTCAAGATTTATTTCCTTGCAGTAATATTCTAACGTGAAACAAAATTAAAAACAAAAATGACACTATGCCTCCTATTTCTACTATTACAAATACTACTTTTACTATCCTATTTAATTTATTTTTAATTGTGCTGTTGAAAAGGTTTTAGAGTCAAAGCAAAAAATAATAAACATATAAATGCTCAGACACAGGCAGCACGGTGGCGCAACTGGTAGAGCTGCTGCCTCTCAGCGAACAGGTCCCTGGTTCAAACCCCGGTCCAGGAGCCTTCTGGGTGGAGTTTGCATGTTCTCTCCGTGCATGCGTGGGTTTTCCCCGGGTACTCCGGTTTCCTCCCACAGACCAAAAACATGCATGTTAGGCTGATTGGTAACTCTAAATTGTCCCTAGGTGTGAGTGAGAGAGTGAATGGTTGTTTGTCTCGTTTGTCTCTATGTGGCCCTGTGATGGACTTGCGACCTGTCCAGGGTGTACCCCGCCCCTCGCACAGTGATTGCTGGACATGGGCACCAGCGACCCCCGTGACCCAAAATGGAATAAACGGGTAAAGAAAATGGATGGATGGATGGATGCTCAGACACCTTGAAAACTATAGATATATTTTTACCACCCTCCTTCCTATCATAAATAGTACTTTAAAGTTTAAACTACAGTTTATGCTTTTGCAGTGATATGAATAATACAGATTTTATTTGAGCACAGATATAATCGAATCAGTAGTCAACTGAATGCTGCATAAAAGAAAGCAGATGGAAGGAAATGCGTGTTACATAACTCTCCACGTGTGTTGAACTCTTAACATTTCAGTGTTTCATATAAGTAAAAACACATCAAGAGTAAAGCGCTTTCATATAAGTTTAAAATAAAAAATGTGATAATGTACAGCAAGTGGAACTTCTTAAATAGCTTACAGAACAACACATAACAAAGCTACAATATCAGTCAGAGACCACTGTGTAAAGTAAAGCTCAGGATTTGATTGAGTTTGAAAGCTAGAGTCCTGCAGAGGCTTAAATTTGACATTTAGTGATTTCATCTTGGTTACAGTTGTGTGATTATAGTATTCCAACAAAGTATTATTTTACACACACACAAAAAAAAGTGCAAACGAACAAAGAGCAAAAGTTCGTCCCATATGGACCTTCCTTTTCTTTTCTTGGTAAATGTCTGTTTTTGACATTTTCTGTGAAGTTAAAGTTACAAATGAACATCCACAGTTTGACTTTTTGGGGTTGTTATGTCTCATCTCATTGAATGTTTTTCTTTTTAATTAGGAGCCATAGTCTTTTTTTTGCTGCTGCTTCACATTATGACATTTGACAGAAGTTATAGGGGGCTACATTGTCAGGGAGCTACTTAAGAGAAATAGTTATCTAAAAATATAATAATTAAAAACAAACATAGCATGAGATGAAAAATGAACTTCCTACATGTGTATGTATGTGCTTACTTGCATGTACATGTTATTATGAAAAATGAACTTGCTACATGTACATGTATGTGCTTACTTGCATGTACATGTTATTAGTGAATTTATATCTGTTGGCGCATACATGGCGCTTTTATCAAACTGTATAAAATAAAAAGAAAATTATATTCTGTATCCTTGTTTAATGTTTAGTTAATGTTAGGGTGGCAAAGTGGCACAGTTGGTAGAACCATCACCTTTCAGCAGAAAGGTTGCAGGATTGAATCCGGGACCTTTCTGGATGGAGTTTGTGAGTTCTTGTTTTTTTCTCCCGGTACTCCAGTTTCCTCTCACAAACCAAAAACCTGCATGTTAGGCTGATCGAAGACTCGAAAATGTCCCTAGGTCTGAGTGAGAATGTGAATGTTTGTTTGTCCCCGTGATGGACTTGAGGAATAAGCTGCACTTTGACGAAATACAATGGAGAAAATTCTTTTAAACACATTTTTTTTCCATTATATTTTCAAAATAGAGAATTTTAACTCATTAATAAAATGTTCATACAAAGTCACAGCAAGATTTTTTTTGTGTTCTTCCTAAGCATAACTTCACAACTAATTCTAAAATTTCCACCAGTTTTAATGCTAATGTATTTTCTAACTAAAGCAGCATGGGAACAAACAAACAATTTTAACAAATGTAATTTAAAATAGGAGTTTTGTACCACAAAAACATTTCCAAAGCTGTTTTAAATTTTGCAGTTGTTAAAGCAATATTTGTGCTGTGTAGCACAATGAAAAAAAGTGTACATACAGTTATTGTAAGCAGCTGCAGGTTTAAACATCTCCTGTTGGGCTGCAATGAGCTCATTTTATTCTTCATTTAATCATATATTTAAACAGGCCTTCAGCTATATGCAAACAGTGTTTACATGCATCAGCTCAAACAAACAAAAAAAGATAAATCAAAGGCAGACTGAATGGATGGAGCATCTACTCAGCTGTTTTGTCTCTGATAAGCCATCTTTACAAGCTGTCCCTTGTGCACTAAGGTCAGTGTATGATCCTGAAGAGAGCGGTGAATGATTATGTTGACAGAGAAGTCAAATAACCCACACTGAAACGAGTTGGCAGGATGACTTGTATTTATTTTTAAAGGGCTTTAGCTGTCAACTGCAGAATGCTGCTGTAACAATCTGAGATCATCTGTTCCTTGCTGTCACAAATACATACCATACACACAAGTGAGCGAAGTGGAAGTCATTTGGCAAGTGTATACCTGCTCAGAAGGAAGAAAATCAGAATGTGGTCTTTTTAACACTGACTGAAGTGCCAATTGTTTGATTTAAATAAATGGATCTGTTCTCGATTATCAAAATATGATATATTTTACTTGGTTGATAAAGCTAACTATGCATTGAGCAAAAGTAAAAGGGAAAGTGCACCAGTAACACAAACAACAAACGTCACAACTTTTCTAAATAGCTGGTGTCTGTACTCATCCCTTTAGTTGGCAGCTCAGAACACCACATACAGAACACCATGGACTTTGTGGATAAGGTGAGGGATGTCATCATGGAGACTGATGAAACAATGGTCTCTTTTTATGTCACATCACTCTTTACGTGCATTCCTGTTGTTTTAAGCAGTAGAGGTGGTCTGTTTAAGGTTAAAACCAGACACCACTCTGAGCAGCAGGACCACATATGAGTTTGCTCAACGTGGCAACTACAGAAGAAGGGAGCAGCCATGAACCAACTGCAACATCCTTATACAACAAATATAAACCAAAAGGTATTCCTTTAAGTCTCTGCATTATATTTTTACCAATCATTCAAAAGCACCAAAGCATAAAACGTTGTCCATTTGAAGGTATTTGATCTTGAAGCCTTTGTGTCAAAATCCTATTTGTTTGATCTCCAGTCCAGATCATGTCAATGTGTCCTGAACTCCCCATTACGTTGATATGCTTTTTTGATGTGTGACATAAGCAAAATAATTGCTGCTTATATAAAGTATAAATATTTGAAGTGCTGTATTCTGACTGTGTGAACTGATGAATGAGATTTTATATATATATATATATATATATATATATATATATATATATATATAT